TGGTCCCTCTGCTGTAGGTCTGCTGAGGTGCACTCCAGGCCCTGCTTGCCTGGGGATCACCTGCAGCAGCTGCAGAACAGTAAGGGTTGTTACCCGTTTTCTTCTTCTGCTATCTTTGTCCCAGAAGGATAACCGCCAAGTGTCAGTCTGATCTCTCCTTTATGAGGTGGCTCTTTGGATATACAGGGGTCAGGGAGCTGCTTGAGGAGACAGCCTCTTCTTTATAGGAGCTCAAATGCTGATCTGTGAGCTCTGTTGTTCTTTCAGAGCTGCTGGGCAGGTATGTTTAGGTCTGCTGCAGCAGAACTCATAAACCGCTTTTTGTTCCTAGGTGCTCTGTCCCAGGGATTTAGGGCTTTATTTATGAGTTTCCATTATGCTGCTGCCTTCTTTTTTTTTCCTTCATAGCTACCCTGTCCAGCAAGGAGGCAGCCTAGTCACTGTCTGCCTGTAGAGGCTTTGCTGAGCTGCTGTGGGCTCCGCCCAGCTGCCGAGTGAACTTCCCTGCATTCCTGTTTGTATGGGTGTAGTTAGAACTGTCTCAGCATTGGTGGCCCACCTCTGTCGGACTCTCTCTGTAGTGGTGGGTTGCCTTGGCAATGGCGGGCTGCCTCAGCAATGGTGGGTTGCCTTGGTGACGGTGGGCTGCCTCAGCATTGGCTGACTACCTCTGTAGTGTTGGAGTGCCTCGGTAATGGCGGACACCCCTCCCCCACAGAGCTGGACCATCCCAGGTTCAGCTGTGCTTGCTGTGAAACTCTCAATTCAGAGAGTTTCTGATTGCTGTTCTTTTGTGAGGGTGGGACCAGCTGAGCCTGATTGCCTGGCTCCCTGCCTCGGAGCCTTTTTTTTTTTTTCAAGTTGGTGTTCCAGTCGCCTGTTGAAGAGGTGCCGGGATCTGTGTGTTTTCCCCTGCGGCAACTCGCTGCACTGGCTTAAACAGCGGCACTGAGATTCGTGGAGCTTTTTTTTGCCCTAGAATCTACTGTCCTGGTTCCCTGTTCAGTCCTCTTTTCAAACAGATGAATGGGCGACTTCCCATGGCTCCAATCGCCAGCCAAATGGGTACCCGGACCAGTGTATTTTGTACAGAGAACCATTGCTCCGGGGCGCTGACAAAGCAGCAGCCCGGGGCAAAGCAGCGGTGCCAGCCGACACAGCCGCGCTGGCCAAGACAGCCGCGCTGGTGACCCGTGGAGCTCCTCCATCTGGGAATTTCCTAGTCTATGGGCAATAAAAATGCAGCGTCCACTCACCCTCTGTGCTTTCACAGGGAGCTGCAATCCTGAGCTGTTCCTAAACGTCCGTCTTGGATCCACCCCTCTTTTGCTAATTTTTAAAATATGGCATTATTAATTGAAAAATTCCAAGTAAAAACAGTTGTTTCCAACCAGTACTTTGCTACCATTATTCCACTGTCTTCTGGATTCATTTTTGCTGCTGAGAAGCCAGTTGTCTAACTCCCTTGTCATTGAAGTTGCCTTCTCTTTTTACATATCAAAAAATCTTTGGCTCTGGTGTTTTTAGACTTATTACAATAATCTTAAATGTGCATTTATTTTTATTTATCATTTTTGAAAGTTGTTATGCTTTCTTAATGAGGGCACTATACTATTCCCAGAACTATGTATGTTCTTAGAAATATCCTTGTTTTTTTCCTCTCTTGGGCACTGAAAGCCTTGCTACCTGTGTCTGCCATAGGATCATAAAGATTAATATATTCATGCCTTTTACACTCGTTCATGGTGGGAATCTGTTCATCCCCCATATTCCAGATTGAAATAACAAAATTCTCAGTACATGGCATTTCTTACTACTTACTACCTTTCTCCATCTGTGTTCTTTGATTTAGGACTACGAGCTTAGAATCCCTTTATGATATCTCCAAGAAGGTACTTAACCCTGGGTATAAGGTATATTCTTTTCAGATAATGTGAGGAGAGAATTTAATTTTTGCCAGGTTCACCATCTATTAAGGAACTTCTTAAACTAAAATCAGCCTTTCCCCCTAAAGCAGTTTGTGTTTTATTCTACTTGGAGCCAAGACTGATAAATAAATTTTAGTTCCATCTCATTTTGTATTGAGTTTTTTTAAAAAAATATTTTTTATTAGCTTACCCACTGAAGGTATCATGTTTTGGAAGGCTAGTATCATGTTTCTCAGGACCGTGTGACCACTGCATTTTCTTTTCCCCATAAATGGGCGATTTAAACTAAAACTCTAGGTAACCATGGATTGTTAAGTACTCTCAAGGTAATTTTTGCTTTAGCTCTCACTGGACTCACTGAACTATATGTCTCTGGATTCGTGATTTGTTGTTATTTTCGGCTTTGGAGAATTTCTCCTACATTTTTATAAGCTGTACTATTCCTTTAAAAATATTAAAATAATTTTTTCCATCACTTTCAAGAGTGTTGTTTTGGGGATGTCCTTTGTTATTTCTAGTGTAGTGTATCATTCTCTTGCAATAGAACACACAGTTTTGGAAACAGGGCCACTGTCCCTCTTCAGAATGACCAGCTAATTAGGCTGGGACTTGTGACTGATTAACTACTTTGTTATAGGGAGAGGCTGGAGAGATGATTGAGTTGTGGTGGTAATTATGGGCAAGATGGTAATATAGGGGAATTCCATCTACTGAAGGCAGAGAGCATTGCTAGGAAATATTAAACCGTATTACCTATAGACATCTACTTTCAAAAGAAGTATATAGGCTTCCAGGGATCAGAAATGAAGTAGAAAACCCAATCTCTGAGCAGCTGATATTTTGATGATTCATGGTATTGGGACTAAACTATATAATGGCAATTTCTGTTCCTTTCGGGGGCTAAAATTTGACTCACTGCCAATGTTCAAAGGTTGAAGAAGCACTAACCACTGTTTCATGGTTGTTCCTGTAGTTGGTCAAGGAAAGACAAATTGAAAATTGGAATGAGCCCCTGTGTAATTGATTAGACCTGTGACTTTTGAGAAAGACAGGTTACAAGAGTTCTAAAGCCCTAGTTCTGAGTTGTGGTCCTGAGAAGACTAGGAAGTGGAAACTATAAAGATTATAAACATGGGATGCAGAAGATGAATTCCCACCCAGAGTGTGCCCACTAATGAAAATTACTAAACGGGAGGCAATCTAATGTGATTAGAAACAAACAATGAGATATTTTACCTGTGGGGAAATTGAATCAATTTAGCTATTATAGTTAAAAAATTTTGAACACATAAATGGTGGAATACCTTCCATGAACAAACTAGAAGTTTATGATACCAAGTGGAAAAGTTTTGAAGCAAAAAGGAAGTAAAAATCTTGAAAAAAATCCTGAAAAAAAATTCTTTGGAATGAAAACTTTCTTATAGAAGTATAAACAGAATAACACAAAACAAAACAAAAAACAAATGGAATATTGGAGGCAGTTGACCAGAGTAGTTAATTGGATTAAAGAATAAAGGAGGTTGGGGCCGGGCATGGTGGCTGCTTGTAATCCCAGATCTTTTGGAGGCCAAGGTGGGTGGATCACTTGAGGTCAGGAGTTTGAGACAAGCCTGGCCAACATGGCAAACCCCCATCTCTACCAAAAATACAAAAAAGTAGCTGGGCATAGTGGTGAGTGCCTGTAATCCCAGCTACTTGGGAGGCTGAGGGAGGAGAATTGTTTGAACCCAGGAGGCAGAGGTTGTAGTGAGCCAAAATTGGGTCACTGCACTCCAGTCTGGGTGACAAAGTGAGATTTCACTCAAAAGAAAAAAAAAATACAGGAAGTTGGAATTGATAAGGTGTACACATACTTACACACATACACATATGATATTAAGGTATTAAGATGTTATGAGCCAGGGGAGATTGATTGAGCAGTGCCATTATATACCTAATTGGATTTCTTGTTTCTTTTCTCTTTTTGGGACAGGGTCTCGATCTGTCACTCAGGCTATAGTACAGTGGCATGATCTCAGCTCACTGCAACCTTCACCTCCTGAGTTCAAGCGATTCTCCTGCCTCGGCCTCCCAAGTAGCTGGGATTAAGGCACGTGCTACCATGCCAGGATAATTTTTGTATTTTTGGTGACATAGGGTTTGGCCATGTTGGCCAGGCTGGTCTTGAACTCCTGACCTCAGGTGATCCACCCACTTCGGCCTCCCCTCTGATTGGATTTCTAACATGGGGATCTAGGGGATATTCCAAGAGATGGAACCTAAGATTTTGTGGTATTTCAGGCAAGAAATAATTTTCAGTATTGATAGTTAACTAAATTCTGTCAAGCTAAATGAAAATATAGTCTACCCCTAGACACATTATAGTAAACTGTAGAACACCAAAGGCAAATCAACATTTTAAAAATATACTAAAATTGGCCAGATGTGGTGGCTCACATCTGTAATCCCAGCACTTTAGGAGGTCAAGGTGGGTGGATCACTTGAGCCCAGGAGTTCCAGACTTGCCTGGGCAACATGGTGAAACACTGTCTATAAAAAAAATACACTCGAGCCTGGGATGTTGAGGCTGCAGTGAGCCATGATCGCACCACTGCACTCCAGCTTGGGCGACAGAGTGAACCCTGTCTCAAAAACAAACTATCTCTCTACACACACACACACACACACACGAACAGCCAAATCACATATAAAAGGAGTAACAACTTGATTGACAGAAGGCATCCTGCAACAACAAAAAAATGGCAAAACAACAGGCTAATATCTTTAAAGTACTGTAGTTAAATATCATTTTTAAAATTAAGAATGAATGTATAATTAAACATTTACAGACATACAATTCTAAGAAAGTTTATCACACAAAAACATGCTCAGACTTACAGAAGCAAGGTAGTTGATCACATATAAGACACAGTGGAAAGAAATATTAAAGGATATTCTTCAGCAAAAAGAACACTGAAGCTAGAATGAGGGAATGGAGTGTAAGAATAAAAAGAAAATAATTGGTAAGGCATGGTGGTAAATCTGAGTAGTTATTGATGTTTTTAAATAAAACCAGCTTGTTGATGTCAGCTCTATCAGTAATATTTTATTTCCTATATAAAATATGAGGCAAATACAGTAATACATTAACATTTTAAAAGTTAGAAGTTTGGTTTACATGAGAAAAAACTTAGGGTGGATTTTAAACGGTATAAAATAATGTGGAATAGCAGGAATGCAAACACTTTCCATTGGGTGAAATCAACAGATTAACAAATTAAAAAAATACATAACACAATGCATGCTGAAAACATCTGATAAAATTCAACACAAATTTTCATTTAGAATTAGAAGTAAAGGCTGGAAGAGAACTTCAGCAGGATAAGGGGTTCCTAGGAAGAAGCGGCTTACAGTCTTGTATAGTAAGCACACTATTTGGCAGTTTTCTGGGATAGCAGTTGGAAAAACTGAGAAAAGCCATGGCTAAGTCTGCCTAGATTCATGGGAAAAAATACAAGGTAACCAACAATGTAAGAAATGTGATGATTTCTTGGTTTTGGGAGAAACGGGAGTGGCAGTATGATGCTGGACAAAGACTGGAGTTTGAGAGAAACATCTGATACAAAATGAGGGAGAATGAAGGGATCTGATTATGACCTTGTAAAGAAGCCCAGAAATCTGAAGACACATTTTCTGGTATCTTTGGGCAGATTTTCTATTTAAAGACAATATCTAGAATTTGTCTTTACTTCCTGACGTCTTCATCTCCTACTATCCGTAGTGTGCAGCGAAAAAGCCATTGTCCGCACATGCAGTGCCCAACTTCCAGTTTGTTGGATACTCAATGTGAGAGATTATGGCAATCCCAGAGGGCCGCCAGCAGGGCGGCCATAGTTGTTGTGTGTACGTGGGAGTGGGGGTTCATTCCTGGAACAGGCGCCTCCGGGCCTTGCACTGAGGGCGCTCTGGGAGCTCCGGGCGCGCGTGGGGACCTGGACTCGGAGAAGGAGGTAGAGGTTGGAGAGGTGAGCTGGGGACAGGCTCCAGAAGGTGGAATTGCTGGTCGAAGATGGGGCATGGAGAGCGTCTCTCTGAACTGGTGTAGGGGCTGAACATACTTATAATGGAGGAGTAAAGCCCAGTGGCCGAGCCAGCTGGGGAGTCCATCCAGAGCTCCAGTAACTCGGGGTCCGCGTCCTCCTCGTAGACCTCCTCCTGGGCGGCGACCTCTGGGACAGACGCGCAGAATTCCTGCTCGACGACGACGTCCTCCCCGAGAGCGCCCAGGAAAACGTTCGTTTCTAGGAAGGCAGACAAGTCGCCCTGCTCTACTAAGCGTTCGTCGACGGAGCTCAGGAAGACCTCGGAGATCAGGAAGAGGGTGTGTCCACCGAGAGACACTCGTATGATCGACGTGGGCGCAGGCTCCAGCACCAGGTCGACATCGTCCCGGGACACCTTCAGGGCACAGCCCGCGGCCAGGACCACCACGAAGATGGGCGCGTCCACGGCTGAAGTCCCCGCCGGGTCTTCCAGGATGGGCGCCACGCGGGGTTCGGGGGCCGCTGGCTCCTCCAGTCGGCGGCGCTTGGCAGGGCCGGGGCCTCCTGGCTGCTGTTCCCACCAGGGCGCAGGGCAGGCGCTGGGGCTGCGGGGTCGGCTGCCCATCACCTCGACGGCGCTGCGGACGGCGCTCTTGGGCCTAGCAGAGAGCGTGGGGACCGGGCCGTGAAGTCCTCTTTGAGGTAACAGGTGTCGGTGGTAGGCGAGGCGGGTTGAGGAGAACTGGGCGCAGGATCACGCTACGTGGGGCGAGTCCTCGGATCTCCAGGGGCGCGTCCCGGAGACCGCAGTCCGTGCTGCTTGGGGATGTCTCGCCGGCCCCCGGGCTTGGCTTCGCGCGTTGGAATCTTGGGACTTCCTGGCGCAGACCCGGATGCGCACTGCAAAACCAAGTGTGTTGTAAATGACGGCAGCGTTCTGGAAGTCGCAAAATGTCACTCACTGCTCTGCCCCCTGGAGGACCCTCCCTAGAGGCGGAGGTATCTGTGCTGTCCAATAGTCGTGACGGTAGTTGGTAGGTCACGCTGTGGAAATACTCTTACGGGCCCCTAGGGGGCAGGATGATCAGTATAACTTACTCGGAAAAATGATACAAAAAATAGTAATAGAATTTCAAAGATGGCGCGCCTTTAGAACTCATGTTTTCTTGTGATTTCAGGGATTCTCAGAAAGCTCTCCCCGACCCATCGAAACACTACGTACAATTCCTTTAGTGCTGGTAAATTATTTCATTTTAGGAGTAATCAGAAAATATAGATTTCTATTTAGGAATTTTTTTTTTTTTTTTTAAGTACTAAGTGAAGCCAGGAATGGTGGCTCGTGCCACATCTTCTTTCCTGTTCTCTTAAATTGTTCGTGCTCCTAGCAAAGGCCACCCATTCCACTTGTGCAGTTGATTTAATCTCATCTTGCCTTCTCAAGAACTTTAATAATTATGTCTCTGTCCTGGATTATTTCACATTTTAGGTATCTCATCAAATTTTAACTACTAAATCAATATCTTCAACATATAATTTGAGAAGAAGCCTATTCTGTGTTAAACAGAAACTCTTGACTTAAACCCCTCCAGTTTCTACACCATTTTCCTTATATACCAAAACTCTTGAGTTAGTCAACAATACTTGCATTCTCCAATTTCCTTTCTCCCATGCTCTTTTGAGCCCATTCTAACCAGACTCCTGTCTGTGCCAGTAATCTATAAGCCCTCTTACTAAGGTCACCAATGACCCCTATGTTATTATATCCAGTGGTTAAGTCTCAGTCCTTATGAGCTATGAGCAACATTTGACACAGTCAATTACTCTCTCCTTTTAACATTTACTCCCTTGCATCCAAGATCTTTCACTCTCCCAGTCTGTCTTTGGCATCTTCTTATTTTTTCCCCTCATTCTGAAGGTTGGAGTATTTCAGGACCCAGTTCTTGACCCTTTTTTTTTTTTGAGACGGAGTTTCACTCATGTTACCCAGGCTGGAGTGCAATGGCGCTATCTCGGCTCACCGCAACCTCCGCCTCCTGGGTTCAGGCAATTCTCCTGCCTCAGCCTCCTG